ATTGTCAACTGTGCCGTACAAATGGTCACTATGCAAGCTCATGCCCTGACCTTGCATCCTCTGCTCGTAAAGATACTGCCCCCGATGAAACTCTTGCTCAAGCTTTCCATGCTCAATGTCACGTCACCAATCGATCTCCTGATTGGTATGTTGTCTCAGGGGCTACATCGCACATGATGCCATCTACCACCCACTTGGACTCGTCTTCTCCTTATACCGGTCATGAACAAGTGATTTTTGGAAATGGTAAAGTCTCTTCTATTTCTCACATTGGTACTTCCACTTTACCTTCCGATCTTGTGTTATCCGATGTTCTTGTGGTTCCCAATTTAACCAAGAATCTATTATCAATCAGCAAACTAACCCAAGACTCACCAGTTGATGTGTTATTCTCTAATCCTTTCTTTACTATTCAGAATCGCAAAACAAAGGCAATACTAGCAAAGGGTAGATGTGACAACGAGCTTTATGTACTCAAACATGGTCATCAAGTGTTCTTTGCAGCTTCAACTTCGTGCCACTCCAGAACTGTGGCATGCTAGATTAGGCCATGTTTCTTTTGATACTCTTTTTGTTTTAAATAAGACTGGTTGTTTGTCGTTGACTTCATTATTACCTAAACCTACGATTTGTTCATCTTGTCAACTTGCCAAAAGCAAGCGTTTACCTTTTACTCTCAATGACAAACGGTCTTTAAATGTGCTTGATTTGGTTCATTGTGACTTATGGGGACCGGCACCGGTTCCCACAACAGATGGTTATTTATACTATTGCATATTTGTGGATGACTTCTCACGCTTCACTTGGTTTTATCCTTTGAAATCCAAATCAGATTTTTCTCATGTGTTTGAAGCTTTTCTAGCCTTCATTCAAACCCAATTCAATTGCAAGATGAAGAATTTTCAATCTGATGGTGGCACCGAATTCACAAACTTACGAGTACGCACGTTATTAATGCAAAATGGCACTCACCATAGGATCTCTTACCCTTACACACCGGAGCAAAATGCCTGTGTTGAACGTAAGCACCGTCACATTACAGAAACAGGTCTCGCCATGCTCTTCAATGCTCGGGCTCCTGCTCGTTTTTGGGCTGATGCATTTAGTGCTGCTGTTTACACCATTAATCGTTTACCCACTCCACTACTTCAACACAAGTCACCATATCAACTTCTATTCAACATACGCCCAAATTATGCCATATTCCATCCTTTTGGTTGTCGAGTGTTTCCCTATCTACGCAAGTATTCATCTAATAAACTTGAACCTCGCAGTGCTCCATGTGTTTTTCTTGGATATGGTTCTCAATACAAAGGATATATTTGCTTCGATCCTTCCACAAATCGCATTTACATTACAAGGCATGCAGTATTTGATGAAGCCTCCTTTCCTTTCAGTGGTACTCCTTCTACATCAAACGAAGCTATTATGGTTCTTTCTGACTTTGATGAATCTACACCGCTGTACTCATCGTCTTTTACGCCACACCACCACCTTCATCATCGTCATCACCATGTCGCATCTTCTTACACGATGACCATGGAACGCCATCTGCTGCCCCCGACGACTCCCACTGATCATGAGTTGCCACTTGCCTCACCACCACCATGTCCTGATGTGCCACCAGTCATTCACCCCATGGTCACTCGCTCCCAAACAGGCGCACTCAAACCAAGAAGAATCTTGGATTTGCTGGCTAGTCAAATCCCGTCTCCATTGGTGCATTCTTTACTGACAATCAAGGAACCGCGAGGATTCAAATCCGCTGCCAAAAATCCTCAATGGTTGTTAGCTATGGAAGAAGAAATGTCCGCTCTTCATTCTAATAATACTTGGGATCTTGTTCCACGACCTCCAAAGACTAATGTAGTTAGCTCTAAGTGGATCTATCGCACGAAATACAACTCTAATGGTTCCATTCAGCGGCTTAAGGCATGTTGGTTGCTCAAGGGTTCACCCAAATTCCAGGCCTTGATTACACTCATACTTTTAGTCTTGTTGTAAAGGCAGCCACAGTTCGTATTGTTTTAACCTTAGCTGTTATGCATCGATGGACCTTGCATCAGTTAGACGTTAATAATGCTTTCCTCAATGGGCATCTTACTGATACGGTTTTCATGGAGCAACCACCTGGTTACCAAGATCCTCGTTTTCCAGATCATGTTTTTCGATTAAAAAAGGCGTTATATGGGTTAAAGCAGGCTCCTCGCGCCTGGTTTCAACGCCTGAGTGCTTTTCTAATCACTCTTGGCTTCGTATGTAGTAGAGCGGATACTTCTTTGTTCGTTTTTAAGCGACAATCCCACATTCTATATTTGTTGGTCTACGTGAATGACATAATTCTTACCGGCAATTCGTCATCTCTCATTCAATGGTTTATTTCTAAACTCCATGATGAATTTGCCATCAAAGATTTAGGTCGCTTGAATTATTTTTTGGGACTTGAAGTTTCATATCTTCCCGGTGACGGTGGTTTGTTTCTCACCCAAACCAAGTATGCTCATGATATACTAGATCGTGCTGGTCTGCTCGACTCTAAACCAGTCTCTACTCCTTTATCCACTTCTGAGTATTTGGTATCCACTGGTTCTCCCTTTTCGGATCCTACCCTCTACCGTTCTCTCTTGTGGGCGCATTGCAGTATCTTACGATTACTCGTCCAGACTTGTCTTATGCAGTCAATCAAGTCAGTCAATTCTTGCATTCTCCCACAACCGATCACTTTCAAGCTGTCAAACGGATCCTACGACATCTTAAAGGAACCATGTCTTATGGTCTTCTCTTCACACCACCTCCCACTTCTTCCTTGGTGGGCTACTCGGATGCAGATTAGGCACGATGCATTGACACACGACGCTCTACTTATGGCTATTCTATATTTCTTGGTGGCAACCTTGTCTCCTGGAGTGCTAAGAAGCAACCCACTATCTCTAGTTCAAGTTGTGAGTCAGAATATCGGGCAATGGCTAACACAGCAGCTGAAATAGTATGGATAACTCATTTACTGCGTGAACTTTATGCACTTCCACTTGATCGCCCCACCTTATTGTGTGACAATCGTAGTGCTTTATTTCTTAGCCAAAATCCCGTCTCTCATAAGCGTGCAAAACATATTGACATTGACTATCATTTTGTACGTAAATTGGTTGCATCTGGACGCTTGTACACTCGGTTTGTTCCTACATCTTTACAGCTTGCATATATCTTCACCAAGAGTCTAGCACGTCCACTATTTGAAGTGTTTCGTGCCAAGCTTCGTGTTGCTCCACCACCACTTTGCTTGAGGGGGGGTATTAGCGATAAGATCATGTGATCACGTGATATTCAAATGTATAGCTTAGATAAGATTATCCCTGTATTTTAGTTTGTATTAGTTATTCATTGTACTATATATACATCAGATATACACGATTACCTCATTGAGGTTTTATTTGAGAGTAATCCTTATACATTCCAATCACAAAACAATTTCAATAGAAAAATAATTCAATAAAAAACTAGCTAAATAATCCGAATTAGATGAAGAACTCACAAACACGGGCCATCAATTTCATGAACAAAAACGATTTCATGAACAAAATGGTTTTAGAAAATCAAATTTGATAACAAAAGCGATTTGAAAAATAGGAGAAGAGAAACATACCGATGGGGCGATGTAAATGCGGGACTAGATGTGGAAGAGCACAATGTTGGAGTTGAAGGACAATGTTGTTGGACGATGATGAATCTTGATTGTGGTCAGGCAGCGACAAGAGCATTTAAAACCCTAAAAGAAGGCACGGTGATGAAGAATGATGATACATGTATGAACGTGATAAAAATACGGAGGGGTTTTCACGTAGCGTTCTCGTGATAGAGAAGAGAGATTAGATATGGTTATTATTTATAGAAGCAGTTACTGATTTAATCTATTTCCTTAATAACATGATATTTAATTAATATTGATAGTAATTACAATATCAAAAAACCGGAATTGCCCTTACTTAAGATGTTAAATTCCCAAAAATGCCCTTATAAATGATTGGCCCATGTTTGTTCTCACGTTCTCACAATAACAATATTTCTTGTCTTTACACGAACCTACTATAGATATATATATAATATAATATATGATATATATCTATATATATATATATATATATATATATATATATATATATGGGAAGAGTGAATATACATTACAGTCCCACCTAAGCTTAGGTACTAAACCTCATGAAAACACATTGTTTTACTATATAAAGATTGCGATTAGGGATTCACGATTAACACTTGAAGATGTAGATTAATGATGTACAATAATTTTGATAAGGAAGTAAAGACATTGATTATATTCGACCTTCGTGATGGTGGAAAACAATACTGCTCACTAGGGTGAAGTAATAAACGATAATGGAGGAAAGAAAACAATGATGGTGAAATGATAATGGTGGGATGAAATGTTATTGGGGACCATATATTTACCAAGTGAAAACCAAATCGAGTATAATTACTAAGTTAAAACGACATATTTTAGATGTTTAGTACCTAAGCTTAGGTGGGGCTGTAATGTATATTCCATATCGTTTATATATATATATATATATATATATATATATATATTATATATCTATAATATATATATATAGTTAGTGGTTAGAAGCTAGTATCACGAAATTGTTTACGTCAGGGTTAGAACTCAATACCTCCAATTTAAGAGGCAAAACCTCTACCAAGTGGGCTAGTCCCAAATTTTGCATCTAAAATATATAATGTTAAACATGCTCATATTTATGGATCTAAATATACATTTACAAGTTATTTTATATTTGGCAAGAGTAACGTGCATAAAGCATAACATAGTAGAACAAGAAGATCAAGATGGTTATTGATTTTAGTCGGATAACATTAACCCTATTTAAGACATTCAACAAAAATAAAAAGACTCTTATGTAAAGATTAGTTGCCTAGCAATCAGAGTACTTTTCCGTTTTCTTATCAAATCCTACTAGATTATGGCGAAATTAGCAAACAATATGCACACCCAAAAATCCAAGCATCACCAGAAGAGGGCACGCACCCCAGAAGTTTCGGTGGGCATCGGAGAAATACTGGTTGACGGGATAGAGATTTTCTGGTGGACCAGTTATGTAAATGTATGCCGGAGGGCCCAACGCATATCCAACTCCAGTGGGTGGGGGAGGGCAGTTCAGGCCGGGTGTTGGAGAAGGCATCTTGGGTGGTGGTGGTGGTGGTTGTGATAGTGGTGGCGGTGGAGGAGGAGGAGGAGGACTAGTAATGTAGCAAGGATTGTTACAAGGGCAACCGCCACATTTTATTAGGTCATTCGGTGATCCTCCGGAGACTGTGGTGGTTGCAGTGGTGTCGTCAAGATTCACTCCTTTAACTGGTGCTGAAGCCACCGCCATGATGATAAAAAAGATGATCTGAAATGTTAGCAACATCTTTGATGGTGGCGGTCACCGTCGAGGAAGTTTTCTTACAGGGTGAAGAAGTTGATATTTATGGGTGTTGCAACTTTCAAGAGGAAATCAAAAGGTGATTTTACCGCGGTTGCAGGTGGTGATATAGATCAATGCAAAGAAGGCATGCACCATTGCATTGCATGTGGATGGTGTATTTAAAGGTTCCATCATGGCAGCTCTATTAGTATTTTACGAAAAAAAGATATTTAATAAAACTATATTTAAAATATTACTGGAAAAGTAAATATTAAAAGAATTTGATTTGCAAAGAGTTTCAAACCAGATATATTTTCTCGATCAATATTAATTTTGGTTTCTGTCAATGAGTTTTTTGTTTTATTTTTATTAATGCTTTTTTGACAAATATTCATGTTATTAATGTTTTATAAATAGAAAGTAAAATTATTTCAAGGTCAGTTGTGGAGTATTAATTAATGTATTTAGATTTTTTATCAAACGGGTAGGTTTTAATGCTAAAATAGAACAAAATAATTTTTTAATAGAAACATAAATTTATAATATTTTAAATATTAAATAAAAATAATTATACGTTGGGGAACTTTAAATATGTATCACTTGGAAAGCATTGAACTTGTGTTTTTTAATTAAAAGCAAATGCTATCAAGGATGAAGAGTTAAAAAAAAAAGGTGGATCATCTTTACATGTCTACGCCTACAATAATTGCATTTTTGTCATAAAAACATATATTTTTAAAAACTTAGAGATCCCAATTCTAATATTGAATTTTTTTGTTCTTTATACCTTTTCATAATTTGTTTGATATATAATTAAGAGAATAAAGATACTACATAAACAATTGCAATTAGAGAAAAATGCTAATTTTGCTTGATACATATTTGACATAGCATAAGATTGCCAATTTTACTTACAT